CAGCTTTACAGCCACCCGAATGGGCAAAGTCCTCCGGATCCAGGCACGTGCCTGAGCAGCAGCCGGTGACATTTGCATAGAAAAAGGTTTTCTTGCAGAAAGTTCTGCTTGCAGAACACCCTCGTTGGGCTGATGGACTATTTTCTCCATGGCCAGAGCTGGTTTTGTTGGGCCTGTGATGCGGCGGGATGCGGTTAGTCATGCTGTCTCCCTTGCAGGGCTCTTGTGCATCGTTTGGTTGCTATTTTCCATCCTTAATTTTTGCCCTTGTTAAGCAAAAGCCAAATTGAGTCTTGTGTGTTTGATTGCCCAGGAAAATGTGACTGGAGGAGCTGAGCTTCTTTTGGGTGCTCTGCAAGCGCTCAGGATCCAACCTTTCCACCCCAATTTGAGCCACGGATCACATGCAGATGCACACCCCCAAGGGAAAACATCTTTGGTTTTCCAGCCCTTTTTCTTATTGTATAATAATGTGAAAATGAGCATTTCCTTCTTTACTTCCAAAAATGTCCCTGACTCCAAGTGTCCTTTTGCCAGATATGGAAGAGATGAGCCATCAGTCAATGAGCATCTCCCAAGGAGGAGGATATTGCAATTAGATCTCGGCCACATCAGCCACCTTGAGATCTGTTCCTAATGCAAAACTGTTAAATCTGAAAAAAAACAAGTGGAGCCGCTGTGAGACCGTGAGAAAAGCTGGGGCTTGGCAAGAATGGAGCTGGGCACCAAAGAGCCTCATAATAAATCTTACAGCATCTACGTGGGAGATAGAAATACATGGCTTATGTCTAGCAGAAGGCTCTGCACTGCACCAGAACCACAGAAATGCTAGGGTAGTCTCAAATATTTGTGTATATTTAACTTCCTTAAGTGCTGGAAGAGATGGAATAACCATTACTTGTGTTGAAGTTTCCCAAACTTCCATATTAATCTAATTTTGATCTTGTGATGTTGGTAGGAAATTGGTAATTAGGACGTATGCTGTCTTGTTTGAAATGGTTTTCAAAAGTCTTCATTAGCTGCTGTCAGGTCCAAGGGGAAAGAGGGCTTTGGGCTTAGAAGGAGAGAACAAGCGTTGATCCCAAGAAGTGCAATATAGGGGTTTATCTGGAGAACCAGGATGCTTCACTACCACAACAAAAAAAAGTGGAGATCATGGGCTGAAACCACCAGACCAGGTATTTCCAATCTCTTCTGGATTCTCTCCTGTAATATAAAGATGACTCTTCATGCCTTGGAGTCGTAGCAGTGGATGAAGTGAGACATTTGCTGTGGCAGGGCCATTAACTGTTTAATTTCTGGAGCGATGAGTTGGGAACAGCAGCAGGATGATGTCCTTGCTCAGCCAGTCAGGCCAACACCCATAAATTAATCACATACAGCACCCAGTTATAATTAGTGCCACTATTCTAAATTGGCTAGAAATAATTACAAGTTCAGGAACAAAATAATGGAGTTTTAATTTGCTTTTTGAGACTTTGTTGGTTTGCACAGAGAAAACTCAAGGGTCTTCCAGTAGCAGGGACTTGCAGACATCCATGGGATGAACCTTCTGGGATTAAATGAGTATTTATAATTGGGGCAGAAAACAAGAAAATAATTAGACTACCTTTGCCTGGCTGCGTGTCCCCGCTTGGTTTTGCTGGGACAGGGAGGACCCTCTCCCCAGGACTCATGGGGACAGGAGAAATACAATCGAGGGCTTTGATTAAACCATGAGGAAGGATATGAAAAGCTCTGAGTGATGAATGGGTTTGATTTCCCCATCCTCCCAGGTGACTCGTAGGCATCGTACAGCCCCTGGGAGTCCAAGACAAAATCCCTGAGGATTTGTGCTTTGGGGTATTTTGGGGTATTTACTTTTTTTTCTTTTCTTTCCCCCCCTGTCTGATGGAAATAAATTTCCTTGAGCTGCTTGGATGGGTTGGATGGGAGAATTTCTGGCTGGTCCTCGCTGACAGCAGATGGCTCGCTCACCCTTTTCCTGGTTCGAAATTAAGACACAGAAGCTCCTTTCCCTAAATTGAATGGATTTGGGACAGACTTCAGCTGCAGCTTTCCAGGGGAGTCCCAGAGTGCTGCTGAGAGATGGAGATCAAGGTCTTCAGCTGCAAAATGCTGGTTTGGATCAGCTTGAGGCCACTGAGCTGCTACTGGGTGGAGCTGGAGGGTGGGGAATGGCAGCAGATATCTGCCCCCCATTCTGTTTTTCTGTGCGTTTAAATATTTAAAGTTTTCTTTTTAAAAGACCAAACCAAACCAACAGGGTATCTCCTTCTTGGTGCAACATCAGGTGGGTTAAAATATGATAATGGAGGTACCTGCACGGCCATAGTGACTATCGTTGATTTTAACAATGATGCTTTGGTTTTGCAAAGTTTCCTGTGTTGATTCGTGCTCGAGGTGTCCAGGGAGCAGAGGGGAAGGTGGGCAGCGTGTCCCCACAGGGAGGAAAACACGTGGAAAGGGCAGGATGCAGGAAGGGTGTTCCTGTGCAAGCCTTTGCACGCTCCCTCTCGCAGTGTACAGAGGCAATAATTCTCAAATAATGTCATCTGCAGGGTGGTTTTCTCCATGGCTGTGACCAAAGAGGAGCTTCGACTTTGGGTGCCACACTATTTTTGTATCAGAACTATTTTTGTATCAAAACCAGTATGGCAAGTAGGACCAGGGCAGTGATTTTCCCCCTGTATTGGGAATCACTGATGAGGCTGCAGCTCAAGTGCTGGGTTCAGTGTTGGGCCCCTGACTCCAAGAAGGACATGGAGGTGCTGGAGCGTGTCCAGAGAAGGGAACGGAGCTGGGGAAGGGTCTGGAGCACAAGTGTGCTGAGTTCCCGGCTGAGGGAACTGGGGGTGTTGAGCCTGGAGAAAAGGAGGCTGAGGGGAGACCTTGTGGCTCTGTGCAAGTCCCTTGGAGGAGGGTGGAGAGAGGTGGGGGTGGGTCTGTTCAACCAAGGCCCAAGGGACAGGACAAGAGGAAATGGGCTCCAGTTGTGGCCAGGGCAGTTGAGATGGGATGTGAGGAAGAATTTCTTTGCTGCAAGGGTTCTGAGGCATTGGAAGGGGTTGTCCAGGGCAGTGGTGGAGTCCCCATCCCTGGAGGGATTGAAGAGTCGTGTAGACATAGTGCTGAGGGACATGGGTTAGTCGGGGACTGGTCAGTGTTGGGTTCATGGTTGGACTCGATGATCTTAAAG